CCCTATAAAGGTTACACGGCAAGAGCATAATTCAACATTTTACAGGGAAAACTCAGCATTCTTATTGGTAACTTTAGCCTAAGATTAATGTTGATGGGTCTCAGAGATGATTTAAAATACGGGAATGGGATGAAATTGAGAGATAAGATACATTTTAGTTATATTTCCTGATTTTTTTTTGAAAGAGGAAGTATACCCTTTACTTTTAGTCAGATACCAAAGGCTGTAGTAGTTTAAATAAGAATTGTCCCCCGTAGTCTTGGGTATTTGAAACTTGGTTTCCAGTAGTTGGTGGCATCTGGGGAGGTTTGGGTGGTATAGCCCTGGGGGTGGGCTTTGAGATGAAAAGCCTCACATCACTTCCAGTTCACCACCTCTGCTTCCTGCTTCTAGCTCAAGATGTGTGAGGCCTCAGGTCCTGTTCCTTTTTCCATCATGAGCTCTTATCCCTCCGGAACCACAAACCTTAGCTAAGTTCCCTTCGGTTATGATGTTTTATCACAGCAGCAGAAAAGTAACTCGCAGACACATTGAATCTCTTTACAATGAAATTAAACTCCTACTTGTCTTTTCAATTTCAATGATGACTTATGGTTTTCATCTGTCAGTTTTGTTAAAGAATTATTTAGTCATCAATTTAAAAGGCATAATACTAAAAAATAACTATATGACAGTCTGTAATCTTTCACACATGAGAATAATCTCTCTAGCTGTTTCCATGTGCAAGTCCTGGATTGGCTTTTTCTCTCTAGACATTTTTCCCTATACTTTCCTAATGATTGCATCAGGGGTCCCCATGGGCCTCTGTGGTAAAGAGGAACAAAGAAAGGATAGTGATCATTTGGAAAAATCAGATGCCAAGGAAAAGAGTCATCTATTAGCAACAAAACCATTTCTGTTACTAGCATCTTCATAAATTCTAACATCAGCATAAATTGGTCTTTTAAAGTCTTCATGATTCGCCCCTTGGTAGCATTTACCTACTTTTTCAGGTTAAAAGCAGTTCATGCTCTATGAGGTTGTTTACACTGTAGTTCAATACCCTTTGCACATAGTTAAGCTGATTTCATTTTTATAGTATCTCCCTTAGTTTTCAACTTACTGTTGTTCTTTCTAATACTCATTGGTGAATGATACTGCTTCCCTTATTCACAGACATAATCCTCTGGACAGTGTCTCTCAGCTTAAAGATGCTAACACGCCTATCATATTTTTATTCTAAAAGTTGGTCTAATGAAGTACTACATGCATCAACTAAAAATAACAATAGATGGCATTAACATTCTCTGGAAATTTTGTGACTTTCTATTTTTATTTTATTTTTGTTATTTTAAGAGAGAGTTTCTCTGTGTAGCCCTGGTTGTCCTGGATTATCTTTGTAGACAATTTTGTGGGTTTTTAAAAGTAGTCCTTATATACGAAGTCTTTTGTTTGAGGAAATAAACCAATATACTCAAACCAAGGGTATCTACCAAGCATCTATACATTTAATGCATATGTTTCTAAGTTGTATTTCTTTCTTTTTTTTTTTTTATTTTACCAAAGTCTAGTAAAGCCTATGAAGGCAGACATTGCTCTCAGTGCCTTTTCTTGTGTACTAATGAGTCAGATAATTGATATTATACCTTGTTTACTGATATTTTGTTGTTTTGCTTATTTGCCAATAGGTTCTTAGATTTTAGAATCTTGAATGGTGAAGGGGGCTGAAGTTTGACTTATACACTACGACCACAGTGACAATATTGTATATCGTAATCAAGTATTTTAAATTGGACATCTACTTTTCGGTATGGGGACAATTCTAAGGAGTCTGCCCATGGCCTCATATACGCTAGGCGAGCACTGTATCAATGAGCAATATTTCAAGCCAACACTTATTTTGTTTTTATACAGGGTCTCACTGTGTAGTAAAAGGTAGATTGGAATTTACTACGTAGGGCAGTCTGGGCTTGAACTCACAATCCTTTAGTCCTTTCCCTTTGGCGTGTGGGGATTACAAGAGTGCATCACCACACACGGGTCAACTTGCTGAGGTGATGAAAGAAGCTGGCTATGTTAGCAAAAATATCGATGCTGTAAGAGCATATTTAGTACTGTGTTATCACAAGGTAGACTTCAAATAAAAATAGGTGGAGTTCACATACAAAGTACCAGAGCACGTTAAGAAGAATAATACAGAAAGTAAAGACCTAACCTGAATCTAAAGTCATCTTCTCTTCACAAGTCATTAAATCTAGTTTAATAGCCATCCCTGTTTCCTCTAGGGCCCAACATCTACATTAGGATTTTTGTTTTATAGTGTTTTGGGTATCCAATAAGTCTTACAACTTGTATGTATGTATGTATGTATATGTATATGTATTTTCCTTTTTCTTTTCACGTGTGTGATGTGCTGTGTGTGTGTTCACATGTGCTTGTTTAAGAATGCATGTGGAGGTCTCTGGTTGATATTGGAAATATTTTCAATTGCTCTTCTATTGCATTCTTTGAGGCAGGGTCTCTCACTCAAACCCAGAGCTTGCTAATTTAGTCTAGTTAGCCAGCTCACTTTAAGAATCTTCTATGTCCATCATCCAGAGCTAGAATTGTAGACAGAATATCACACCCACATGGCATTCAAATAGTTTAAAGTGCTCCTTATATAATTATATGTATATAATTATAAGTCTCAGTTATCTCCATTAATTCTACCAAACAGAGGTGATCATTAATAGTCTTTTTAGTTTATATTCTAGTCTGTTTTAAATAAAATAAATCTGTATAAGCCCATTGGAGATGTATTTTTTTTCCAAATAATTTTACTTATTTTGGATTTGACCAACCACGTGTGGAACTTGCCGATACAGAGGGTCAACTGCACAGTTCTTTAGCTGTGATGTGATTTTTTTTAATACTAATATTTTCTTATAAAACAACTATAAATTAGTTTATTAAGTATTTGCTTAAACATAAATTATTATTATATGTATGCGACTGTGATACATGTGTGAGGTCAGATGCACACAGGCCAGAGGAGAACTTACTGGAATTTTCCCCCCCTCTACTGTTGGATTCCGGGACAGAACTCAGATCTTCAGGCTTGCATCACTAGTGTTTTCACTTGCTGAGCCATCCCCCTGGCTCCTCATCAATCTTCTGCCATTGGGCATTTGAACTATTTCCTATATATTTCATTACTACACATTTGTAGGACCTTGAATACAAATCTTTTAGTCTTTATACAAAACTCTCTTAAATTTAAGAGAATATATCATTAGTAAGGACTCATGAATTTCAATTCTCACCATCTTAGGATTTCAGCCCTTATTTATTGAGTTGGATCAGCATTCTAATACATTCCAGTTCTAAACATATGCATTCTATACTTATTAGATCTTTAATAACTGGATGAGATCATTTTTAATACTTAGAACCACGAGGCATAGAATTCATAGCTCTCATGTGGGTACAGAGTGGAGGAAGGACAAATACAGAACCATACAGAGATATTATCTCTCTGGAATACCAGTTTTATTTCAAGATTTGAGGATCAAGCTTGGATTTTTCTTGTTAAATGCAAATATACTAGAAAAAATACAAAAAACGTCTAATTTTTAAGATTAAAAAGAAAGGCTTTGGGAAAAAAATTCATTTCTCAGTGTGTTCTTTCAGCTTTGCTCTCATAAAGTCAGCGCTATTTCCTGTGCCACTAAGGGAAGGATAAAAAGTTCTGATTGAGACTTGGCAGTTATATGAAGCCGTTGAAGGACTGTATCATATTATTGAAAAAAAAAAATTTAAGGTGTGGCAGGAGGTGGGGGCCCCTACAGAGACCAGAATAGGATTTTTGATTTTTGGGAGCTGGAATTACAGGTAGATGTTGGTGCTAGAAACAAGTGTTCTTCATTGCTCAGCCTTGTCTCGAGCCCCTGGTATCACTCTCCAGCAGAACCCTTGAAATTGTTGTTGACCTAGGGATCAAAACACACCCTGTTTGTTTCACTGTTTCATCTTAGACTTTGTCAGACAGTAAGCTTAGTTTGATATTTTTGTGTCTTAAACGGTCCGTCTTGCCTTCTACAATTTTGTAGGCTTTCTCTTGTTTCTTTACCAACCATAGTTTGTTTGTAAAACTTTTGATTTTTAGAGATCCAAGTTTCATATAGCTCAGTCAAAGATAACCTTGAACTTGACATCCTACTGTTTTCACTTACCAAGTGCTGGGATCATAGCGGTGTACTACCCGGCCAGGCAAATAAATATTTGAAAAATACAGACTTCAAGCATGGGAGGTGGGGAGGGAGGGGGAGAAAGAGGATGAGGAACAACCACCACCAGTCAGAAGCAGTCAGATATTTGTACTCAGAATGAACAAAAACCAAACCAAACTAACAACAACAAAAAAACCCCCCCTGATATATAAAAATTGAATTACATCATTTAAAAATACAATTGGAACAAAGTAAGCTTATAAAAATTATTTGTGGGGCAATAGACATCAGGAACAAATTGTCAGGTCCTTGGTTTTTATTTTCATTTTTCTTTTATATTCCAAATTAACGCACCGATCACCAAAACTTGTACAAATCAAGTATAGTGGATTACTTTTTAAAAACCTTTCCCCCTAGATCTGCAGGGTAATTTCTCCATTACTTCCTTTTTCTTTGCTTAATGCATTACAAGATCTAATCAAAAGTGCTACTTTAAATTTCGGAGACACAAAGTGGCACAAGGGTGCAAAAGGAGGTCAGCAACAAGCCTCCTCCCGGTGTGGGCCGGTGAAGCGCGCGTGGAGGTCGCTGGGCAAAGGTCACCCCGGCACACGCCTGCTCGGGGAGCTACGGGGTACCTTCCTCCCTCCGTGACAAGTGAACCAAAATTCAATCAAAGCCTAAGCGCTCGGAGAGCCAGCCCAACCCAGCAGCGAGGCGTCCTCCCGTGACCCGGAAGTGCTCGGCGGCCTGGGCGAGAGCGCGCCCGAGCCTGCGCGCGCGCGCCCCCGCGGAACTCCCGCCGGCGGCTGGGTTCTGCCGGAGGCGCGCCGGATCGCGGCGGCCGCCAACATGGCCGAGACGAGCGAAGAGGTGGCGGTGCTGGTGCAGAGGGTGGTGAAGGACATCACCAACGCCTTCCGCAGGAACCCGCACATGTGAGTCGCGCGCCCTGCGCCGCCGGGGTGGTCGGGGAGGCGGGCCGGGGCCGCGCTCTAGTCCACTCGCGGCCGCCGCGCGGGGCCCACGGGCGCTTCCGACAGGCGGAGAGCGGCTGGGACTGTCGCGCCGGGCCGGCTGGTTGTTACCGGGACGCGTGGCGGGCCAGCGTTGGGAAGCGATCTCCGAGAGCCCCGTCGGAGCGTGGAGTTTTCTGCCCTGCCCGGCGCGTCCCGGGAGTTGTGGCAACTCTTCTCCCCGCCGCCCTCCTCCTGGGTGCGCTTTGCTCCGCGGGCCACTGCTGTGGGTCTCTGTGCCTCGGTGGCGGCTCTCGTTGGCATCCCGTGCGCGGCAGTAGAGGGCTACCCACCCCATCAGACTCCCCGCAACCCCCTTTCAAGTTAACTGAAGGTGATTGGAGGCAGGCTGCCTTTGACTCTTCCACTCACTTGTCACAAAATTGCAAAGCCAGTCAGATGTAACAGTTTTTGAAGGTGACCTAGGTGGATCTCTTAAAGCTGTTGCAAACTGGATACTTTTTTTTTTTTTTTTTTTAATCAGAAGAGCATTAGAAGTTACAGAAGAGCATCCTACAGCATTCTTACCCAGCGCTGTTGCCTTCCAAAAGTTCACTCCAGAACTGACACATATATTATCTCTTCCTTTCCCCTTTCCATTTTACTTGTTATTCTCTAGGAAGATACGCTCAAGATTGTATTTTCCTGGCGATCTCCCCTTAACGAATGTAAAGAAAGCTACTAAAAAGTTTACCTACATCTTTATACAGAAGAATAAGAAAGAAGTCAGTGTAGCCCATTTCCCATCCCCCCCCCCCCCGGGGAAACAAACATGGAGTCCAGTTTTGTATTATTTTCTCATTGATTATACAATTTATTTTTAATACTTTTATCTTTTAAACTAGAACACATGAATTATTTTTAAGCATTCGAGCCTCCTTGGCTTTTTCGACTAAATGAAAGGCCAAAGCTACATTTTAACAAAGTGTTCTTTTTCTCCAAGGTGGTGCTCCTAAAAGAATTTAGGAGTCCTCCGATGGCCTGCTCCCTTGTGGCAGTTAGGGGCTTAAAACTGTACTTCATTAGAGACAAAAGACTACTGACCTCTAAATATACCTGCCAGCTCTGTCAGCCTCCAAGTCCTCTTCCTTTCCTCTTTTGACTGCTGACTTTTTTTAAGAACGAGTGTTTGGAGTGATTTCCTGGCAGTAGCCATAGTGGCTGCTGGGCCTTGTAAAGAATGCTTTGATGTCTTGTGTGTGAGTCTCTGAGGGCCTTTTTGAGAATTCCAGCAGCACTGCAAATAAGACACACATCCTAAAAAAAAAAAAAAAAAAAATGTTGGACAAATGAAAGGTTCATTTTTTTCATCATTAGTGTTATTTTTTTTTTCTGAAAGAAATTGTAGCAAAGGTTAGAAGTTTAATATAGTAATCACTTTAGTTTATCATCTTTGAGGTAGACTAAAAATATTAACATTTGACAAAACTAAGATTATGATAGTTAGGCAGATTGACCCAGAGCAGTGTGGAGCAGGTCCCTGTTTTTCAGGATTTTAGTAAATTTTCTATACAGTAGAATTATCTTTTAAAATGTCTCGTATGGGAACTGAAAGATGGCTCGGAATTTAGGAATACTGGCTGTGCTTCCAAAGGACGCAGGTTCAGTTCCCAGCACCTAAATGGCAGCTCACAGCTGTCTGTAACTCCAGTTCCAGAGGATCTGACACCCTTACATAGACATACATGCAGGCAAAACACCAACACACTTAAAATAAATGAATAAGTAAATCTTTTTTTTTTTAAGTATTGTACATTGGACTTTACAGAAGTGCCAATATGTCTTTGCTTAATCTAGCCCTTTTAGACTAAAAAAGGCTGTATTTCTAGTTTTAAAACATGGTTATTTTCTACCTTTAAAGTTAGTATCTAAGAACAGTATTATAAAAGTTTTTCACCATTTACCTTTTGTTTCCCTTTCTCCAACATGAAATAGGTTGCCAACTTATTTGCTAACACCTGCTCTCTTAAATATATTAACTTTGTTTCTGTAGAACTATCTACCTGAAGCAGTCAGAGGTTCAGTAAGTGAGATAGGAATGATTTTCCCCAGGTCAATGGCTTCTTGATATTGGAAGGCTAAGGAGAATTCAAAGCACCAGAGTTAACCTGAGTCCTTCTACTCCTTGCCAGAACACTTTGCAGCGTGAAAAACACAATACAGATATTGTTCGCATGGGTGACTGGGGATCCTTTTGGATTCTATGCCACTATTGGCTTGACCAAGGAATATTTATTACCATGAGGTGTAGACTACGCCTCCAAGTAGAAGACAGCTGTCCACTGTACTGCCTAATTAGGTCATCTTGTATCCAGTTTTTAATTGAATAGCTACAGTGATTTGAGGTGCATATTCACTATGTGGGACAAGAAGTACAAAATATAGTTTGTATTAAAGCCAAATTTCTGGTATGATTGAATTGTACATCTGTTATACTAGACATACGTAGCTGTTGAACACTTGGAATATGCTTAATGTGAACAAGAAGTGAACTTTTAATTTTAAGCATAATAATCACATGAGAAGTGAGTACTGTGTTGTCTGGTGTGGCTTTAGTGGAGACCTAAGACTTGACCTGCACAGATAAACCCTACAATAGAGTTCCCAGTGCAGGTGTGTTAGCAGTGTTGTAAGTGCTGTCTCCTGGAAGAGAAGGGAGTCTGGGTGTACCCCGTGGGAAGCAGCTTTTAACATGAACATCAAAGACTAGGTAGGATTTACAGTGTCAGAAGACTCTGGGAGTAGCATATTGATCAAAAGCAGCAAGACGTGATAGAAAAGATTACACAGGAACGGGTTACAGAAGTCCTTGGCTATATGGCCTAGTTGTTGCATTCATGTATATGGCAAAAGAACACTCCCATTTGACAGGCAGGTAGTTCAGGGATGACACTACCAGGAGCTGAGCACATAGATCAGTGTAGTTGGGAGAAGAGCCATCTCCTTAATGGAACTTCGAATCAATCAACAGCTTGTGAAAGTAGGCAGAAAGGGTAAGAAAACCATCATGAACAGCGGTACACAGGACACTTCATTTGAATTACAATGTCAAGATAGTTCTCTCAGGGAAACTAGCATTTGAGTTGAGACACAACTGAGGATATACTGCTAATCAGAAGGAAAGCCTCAGGTTAAGTAGGGGAGTAATGAAATAGTTTGAACTTGTGTACAGACTGAAGAATATGAAACCACAAAATACGATGGTCTTATACACGTGTTTTGCTCATTTAAATTATAGTCTGGGTTTTAAAGTTTTTATTTAGAATTTGAGTCCTGGATTTTAATCTTGTTGTTTTTGCTAGCCCGATATACTTAGGTAAGACTCTCTTATCTATAAAATGGGGTGAAGATTTTTACTGTAGATTATTACATAGAATAAACAGAGTGTGGCAGACAATAAACAGCGATTTCTGCTTTTTCTAAATAATGTCAGTAAAGTAGTTTCAGTGGTACACAAAGTTAGCAATCTTTAACATTAATGAGGAAGCCTATTAGGTCTCTGAAATACCTTCAGTACCAGTCAGGTTTTAATTACTAATATACAGACGTCAGTTCCTGTAGATATTTACTATTTCCTTTTTGGTCATCCTAGAAAGAATTCCAGCTTATAAGACAAAGACAAAGAAACTACTCAATAAAGACATTTATACAGTTTCCCAAATCTGGGCTGTTTTTGTTTCTGCTGTGGCACTTTGCAGAGTTCATGCGCTGGGGACAGAGCATCCCACCTAGGGGGGAGCTTGGTTGACACAGCTGCCATGAGCGTTAAAGCAAGATGTCAGACAAGTTGTCGGTGGAGCATGCAGACAAGAGATGCCGCCACACATTGGAACAGAGTTGACATGGATGTAATATGAACCTTCAACTCCATCAAATCTCCCCTGTAAAGTGAGATCTCCAACACACGCTCTTTGCAGTGTGTGAGCTGCCGGTCCATTCCATGTTGCCTGTGGAACACGCTATCACGGCTCCAAATCATTGAGCCCTGTTGTGTCTGTTAGAGAAGATTAAAACTTGTTTGCTGCCGTAGACCTGGGTTTATTTGAAAAAACCCTAACCTTGGACATACACAGAGTATTTACTTGAGCAAATGGTTAAACACAGGTCTCTAAATTTTTCTAGAAACTTAAAAATATAGGGGAAAGGAGTTTGTGGTAGTGAAAGGGTCAGGAGCCCCTCATAAAGGCTTTTCCAGGAAGAATAATTGGAAATTGATGCTTATAGTCATTATAAACATTTAAATTCCAATTATGCAGGGGATCTTAAATGTTAATTTCAAAGTTTTGTCAAAAGCTTTATATCTGATGTGACCTCACTTTCTATAAAAATACTTAAAGAGGACAAAAAGACATATAACAAACATTACTAACAGTAGAGACAGGCTTTTAGTTTGTATTTTCCCTGAATTTTCTACGTTTTCTTGAGTATGAGATTATAATTTAAGTTAAACTGGAGACCTAGATTCTTAAGTTATCTGCAAGTAATATTGGCTTCAGGTCATCTTCTTAAGCTCAATGGACTTCATCCTATAAAAATGAGACATAAAAATGAACTTTCGTCATTTTAACGTGATTTAGAATCCTAAATCTGAAGAAATTAGAAAGTGATCTAAAGGAATAGATACAGAAAACTAAATTGAAACAGTCTGTTATTTGAAAGCTTAAGGATCACACATCTTCCTAAAGAAAATGCTGTAATATTTTTTGGAAATGACAAAGGATTAGCATTCTTTGCCTCAGCTTTCTGTTGTCTCCTAACTTGACACTGACCTCAGGCTATTATATGAATTGATAACCTTTATCTTTGCCCAGCACTTCAGAGTTTGCCACATTCTTCACCTTTGGTTTTCCTTACAGACAGGGAAGATATTTCTATAGTTCAGATGAGCAGCCCAGAGATAGAAAGGAGACTGATTAGTCAGGGCTGTTATCAAGAGCTTTTGTCTCTATACAACACTTCATCTTTTCATTTGAAGCCTGGGCTGTCCTGTACATTCTTTGTAGACCAGGCTGGCCTCGAACTCACAGAGATCCACCTGCCTCCGCCTCCCCAAGTGCTGAGATTGCAGGCGTGTGCCACAGTGCCAGGCAAAAGGTTTATATTATTAGGACTCATTCTATTTATGCGGAAAGCTAAGAGCACACTAGCCCATTTCCTTTACTGGGCATAGAGTACAGATCTATCCTTTTACAGATGGGGGAAAAGTGAGGTCTGTCAAGGCTAAAATTGCATATACATCTCTGTTTGCTGTACAGTGTATTACAAAGAACAGAGGTTATGTTCTCTGGCAGTAACCTTGGAAAGCTGTGTGAGTGTCAGGGAGGAGCAAGGAAGACTGTGTATTCAGTTGCACAGGCTTCCCCACCGCTCTTTGTTTTTTGAAAGCTCACCTGTAATCCCAGCACTCTGAGAGGCAGAGGCAGGATCTCTGAGTTCGAGGCCAGGCTGGTCTACAAAGAGTCCAGGACAGCCAAGGCTACATAGAGGAAACCCTGTACCAAGAAAGAAGGAAGGAAGGGAGGGAGGGAGGGAGGGAGAGAGAGAGAGAGAGAGAGAGAGAGAGAGAGAGAGAGAGAGAAAGAAAGGAAGGAAAAGAAAAGAAAAGAAAGGAAAGAGAGTTTCTTGGAGGGGTAGCCAGTCACAGCAGTGTGTTTTTTAATTCTGCAGATGGCTTTGTCCTATAATTTAGGGACCAAATTAGCAATTGGATATTTTATATCTAGTACAACTATAGTGGCAAAACTTGTTTTTAACATTGTGAATTTAAATTTAAAAACCTCCTCCCAAACAGTGTATCCAAAAGCTGGGATTCTTTTATTCCTGCTAATGTAACATTTATGTTTTTAGCTCTTGGAGTTCCTTGAAGTGTTATAAGTAGTTATTAGATCTCAGAGAACACAATCTCCTGAGTAATTAAGTTGAGGGGTTGGTTTTTCATTTGATTGTGCTAATTTTAGGTTGCTCATTTTGTTTGAGGCAGGGTCTCACTGGGTAGTCCCAGCTGACTTGGAATGCAGTATGTAAACCAGGCTGGCCTTGAACTCACAGATATTCTCCTGCCTCTGCCCCTCAAGTGCTGGGCTTAAAAAAGTTATTTTATTAGTAGATTATTTTCTAAAACATATATCTGCATACAGTAAAATACGAACACCAGGAAACATTATTCTAGTAACTAGGCGTGGCTAGTTGTACTTGGAATGAACTAGTTGGATTCAGGTTCTTATCTCTGAATACAGATACAAAGATGTGTTTTGAACACTGAGTATTGACTGCAGGTACTCTCTCAGTGTTTTCCTCACAGAACTTCATTTGTGTTACAGGAAGAGCCAGGTGATAACCTTTTACTGTAGGTAAGGACAGCCTTGCTGACAAACTTTATAAGTCTGTGGGACTCTCATTATTCGGTTTTTATTTGTTTGTTTGTTTGTTTTTATTATCAGAAACTAAAAATATGCAGTATATTCTGTGAAGGGTTTTTGTGCAGTGATAGTACCAGTGTGCGTTGGTATGAAAAGAGACCTCTTAAATCTACTGAACGAGTTGTATGTCCCCAATTTTCTGGAGAGTTAAGTTACTTTGGAAGAAGTGTTAGCATCCTCATTTTTTGATACATCCTTGTGATCAGTAGAAAATGGGCTGCCTTTGAACTAACCAGTTTAGAGGTTTCTCTGGGTAGGTTTATTTTAGATCTATGCTTCCTTTGACTCGTGATGGTGACTTAACAAACAAGGAGATTTTTCTTGTAATCTGTAATTAAACACGTTTGTCCTTTTTTTAAAATATCTGTCAGACTGCTCTCTTCTTGGCAAAGGAATCCTGGGAACTTAAAAGGCCACGTCACACATAAATTCTGAAGATCAAGTTTTAGTTTATTCTTTAAATTTATTTTGTTGGGGGAAAGGGAGACGGCACCTTCCAGTTGTGCAACTTCTGCCTTTTATTTTTTGAGACAGGATTTCTGTGTGTAACCCTGACTATCCTAGGACTTACTCTGTACAATATAGACCAGGCTGGCCTTGAACTCACAAAGATTTGCCTGCCTCTGCCTCCTGAGTGATGGGGTTAAAGGCGTGTGTCACCGGCTTTAAAAAAAAGAAAGAAAGAATTCCATAAAAACAAAATTCTTCCTCATTCCTTTTCTCAAAAAAACCTCCATATCTTTTCAAGGAAAATTTAATGTATCTTTATACATATATATTTAAAATTATATGGAAGACTTTTTCATCGTGATGATTTGCTTCCTGCATGTATTCTTGGCAGGTACCAGTATATGCAGACTTGCTGCTTTATTTAGCAGTTAGCACACTGGTGAGCTGTGCTTGATTTACTGGCATTATGCTGTGAAACCACTGGACTGTTTCCTGTCTTGCTGCAGTGTTTTATTGGGGGGGGGGGGTCAATTGCAAGATCAGAGTGTGTGCTTTAAAATTCTGAAAGCTGTTTTCAGATTGCCACCTGAAGATAGGCTGAATCTTCACTCCTGCCAGAGGGAGGACTGCAGTGTGCCATGTCCCCTGTACTCCTGCTGTTACCAACAAGCTACAAACTGCATTTAAAAAGTCGTTTGTTGCTACCACTCCGGTAGATGAACTTGGTTATATTCTTAAGAGAATTAAATATGGGAGGTTTTTAAAATGCTTTGTGGAATTAGAAAAAAAAAAAAATTAAAGCCCAGTAATATCCTCAGATTCTTTTTCTGCCTTCCGTATTTAGAGATGAAATTGGCCTGATCCCATGCCCCGAAGCGAGATATAACCGGAGTCCCATAGTCCTGGTTGAGAACAAACTCGGCGTGGAGAGCTGGTGTGTCAAGTTCTTATTGCCGTATGTCCACAACAAGCTCCTTCTGTACAGAACAAGAAAGCAGTGGCTGAACAAGGATGGTGAGCATGAGCCTGTTTTCCCCTCGGGGAGGAGCCCTTGCTTGGGGGTTGGCATTCCTGGACTCTAGGTTTGGCTCTCCTCCGCTCTGCCTAAGCAGGTGCTTAGCCTCTCTGTCAAATGAGGAGGTTAGACTTGATCGTTAGTATCCTGTTTCTAACCACAGTGATTAGAATGGAAGTGTCTCATGCAGAAGTCAAGCCAGGTGCTGCAAGCCACCACAGTTCATGTGCCAAGGTCATTTGTAAAATTTTATTTAAGAATAGTACCACTTAATTATTAAAAAAAAAAAAAAAAAGAGGTGTTTGAGCATCACCAGTTTTCTAGTTCCTATATATAACACCTGCTTTCTGACCCCTTAGTATGTTAGGGACAGCAGCACTTATTTCTATAGCAGTTCAAAGGAGTTAGACAAGGAGCCTTCCTAGTCTCAGTGCATCCCCATCTGTGATCATGAGTGTGCTGTTCTCTGTGAGTCCCACTGAGAAAGTGAAAAATAAGAAAAAAAAAGAGAAAATTTTGGCTTTTACTTCCATGGTCTTGTTGCAACTCTTTATGACACTGATAATCCCTAACTACCCTACCAGGTCTCTTTTCCAGAGTTTCCTCAGGCCAAGCCTGAGGTCTGCGTGTCCTTTTAGGCTGCCCTCAGGACTCATTTCTGTGGAGTGTCCATCTCAGACTGTGTCCTCTTTGCCTCTTGTAAGGCCCTTCCTCTTCCCTCACACAGTAGCATCTGCCCAGTGTGCCTGGAGGGTGGTTCTCAAAGAGAACTTGTTTTTTAAACAATTTTAATTACCAGATCAGTAGCCATCACCAGGGGCTGCTCTTAGCAGAAGCTGTGCTGAGGACTGAAGGCATAAAAGATGAGTAATACATGTTTCCTTTAACTACAAAGTCTCAAGTTGAGTACCAGAAAGCCTCACATCTGAGTCCTCTGATTTTTTTTCAATACAGGTTAATTGCACTTTTTTTCTTTGTGGACCAATTTATTGGTCCTCTGATTCTTGTTTCTAATTCTCAATTGCTGCCTAAACCTGGTGTGATGTTAATGGCATGACCCGAATTTAGGTATTTGGCTTTCGTTAGGCACCCTTCTTTATTCTATAACCATGGCATAGGGTTCCAGGAGCCACAGGACTCCACCAAGTTACTTTTTGCCGAGCGAAGCTGTACTATTCTTATGCTGGTGTGACTGAGCCCGTGCACACTAACGGAGCAGCGTAACTGTCTGAGAAGAAATGGTAAGAGGTTCTGAGGATCCAGTCTAAGTTGTCTCATAGCATTAGCCTGCGCCCGTTCTAGGCCTTAGCGCCACCCACCTTTGTCATGTGCCCATCCAAATCCTTCTCTGCGTTTCAGGTTCTTGCTGGTGCCATGCTGCAGACTCTGCCATCCTCTCATGATTTCAGTCTTGATAGTCCCACAGGACACTCTCAGGAGGACAGCAGAGACAAGTTCGGATTTTATCTTGGTCTAGATAAGAACTAACCTCTGTTAATCTAAGGTGTACGCAGGAGGGGAGCATAGTTCAGCGCGGTGCCACAGGCTACCCAGGTCAGACATATGTTGTATTGTCAGCAGAAGAAGTAAATCTCTGTGTTGATGTCTAAAAATGCTAATGCAAAAATATTGTGCCAAGTAGAAACTAAGGCATTTAGGACACAGCTGAATCTTGCTAAAGAAAGATAAATTCAACATTTTTAGGAAAATACCATTTCTTTGAAACTGTTTTGCTTGGTTTGTTTTTTATAGAAAGTACTATGTTTATAAAAAGAGCCAAAAATAGAAAGCTGATAGTTAAAGAAATATTTTAGTATCTAACTGATTAGACCAGAATCCTGCAACAGAGTCATAACTCAGTGACTTTTATCATCATAATAGATTTTTTAATTTAATTTTATTTTTATTAATTACAGTTTATTCACTTTGTATTCCAGTTGTAGCCCTCTCCCCTATCCCCTTCCAATTCCACCCTCCCTCTTCTCCTATGCCTCTCCCCAAGTCCAATGATAGGGGATGTCCTCCTCTCCATTTGACCCTACACTATCAGGTCTCATTCAGACTGGTTGCATTGTCTTCTTCTGTGGACTGGTAAGGCTGCTCCTCCCTCAGGTGGACATGATCAAAGAGCCAGCCCCTGAGTTCATGTCAGAGACAGTCCCTGTTCCCATTACTAAAGAACCCTCTTGGACACTGAGCTGCCATGGGCTACATCTGTGCAGGGGTTCTAGGGTATCTCCATGCATGGTACTTGTTTGGAGTGTCAGTCTCACAAAAGCCCTCTGTGCAAGATTTTTTGGTTCTGTTGCTCTCCTTGTGGAGCTTCTGGCCCTTCCAGGTCTTTCTATTTCCTCCTTCTTTCATAAGATTCCCTGCACTCTGCCCAAAGTTTGGCTATGAGTCTCAGCATATGTTTTGATACCCTGCTGGGTAGAGTCTTTCAGAGGCCCTCTATGGTAGGCTCCTGTCCTGTTCTCTCTTTTTTCCCTCTTCTGATGTCCATCCCGTTTGCCTTTCTGAATGGGGATTGATCATCTCACCCAGGGTCCTCCTTCTTGCTTAGCTTCTGTAGGTGTACAGATTTTAGTATGATTATCATATATGTCTAATATCCACCTATAAGTGAGTATATACCATGTGTGTCTTTCTGCTTCTGGGATACCTCACTCAGGATGATCTTTTCCAGTTCCACCATTTGACTACAAATTTCATGATTTCCTTGTTATTAATTGCTGAGTAGTATTACATTGTGTAAATGTACCACAATTTCTGTATCCATTCCTGCATTGAGGAACATCTGGGTTGTTTCCAGATTCTGGCTATTACGAATAAAGCTGCTATGAACATGGTTGAGCAATTGGCCTTGTTGTATACTTGAGCATCTATTGGATATATGCCTAGGAGTGGTGTAGCTGAATCCTGAGGTAGCACTATTCCTAATTGTCTGAGAAAGCGCCAGATTGATTTCCCTCCGGAATGGTGGAGGGTTCCCCTTTCTCTACATCCTCTCCAGCATGTGTTGTCACTTGAGTTTTTGATCTTAGCCATTCTGATGGGTATAAGGTGAAATCTCAGGGTTGTTTTGATTTGCATTTCCCTGATGACAGGATGTTGAGCATTTCTTTAAGTGTTTCTCTGCCATTTGATGTTCCTCTATTGAGAATTCTCTGTTTAGCTCTGGACCCCATTTTTTAATTGTATTACTTGATTTGTTGCTTTTCATCTTCTTTAGTTCTTTATATATACTGGATATTAGCCCTATGTCAGACATAGGGTTGGTGAAGATCCTCTCCCAATCTGTAGGCTGTCATTTTTTTTCTGAGGACAGTGTCCTTAGCTTTATAGAAGCTTTTCAGTTTCATGAGGTCCCATTTATTTATTTGTTTGCTTTCCAGAGCTGAGGACTGAACCCAAGTCCTTGCGCTTGCTCTACCACTGAGCTAAATCCCCAATCGATTGTTGCTCTTAGAGCCTGTGCTGTTGATGTTCTGTTCAGGACGTTGTCTTCTGTGCCGATGAGTTCAAGGCTCTTCTCCACTTTTTCTTCTAACAGGTTTAGTGTGTCTGTTTTTACACTGTTTTAGTGTGTCTGTTTTTTGAGGTCTTTGATCTATTTGGACTTTAGTTTTGTGCAGGGTGATAAGTATGGCTCTATTTGTGTTTTTCTGCATGTAGATATCCAGTTAGATCAGCACCATTTGCTGAAGATGCTACCTTTTTTCCATTGTATGGTTTTGGCTTCTTTGTCAAAAATCTGGTGTTCATTAAGTGTGTGGGTTTATTTTCTAGGTCTTCTATTCGAAGAAATAGATTTATTTTTTTAAACCTGAGTTTATGTCTCATGCTCATTAATGATCTAAATTACTTAGATATTTGAAAGAAATGTTTTTTAGTTATTTTTAAAATAATTTTTGAAATTATTTATTTACTATGTATATAATGTTCTGTCTGCATGTATACCTACCTGCACACCAGAAGAGGGCACCAGATCTCATTTTAGATGGTTGTGAGCCACCTAGTCATTGCCGGGAACTGAACTCAGGACCTTTGGAAGAGCAGACAGTGTTCTTAACCTCAGAGCCATCTCTCTAGCCCCTTATTTATTTTATTATTATGCTCCTATCTTATTTCTTTGTTCTCTCAGAGCCAATGAAAGAGCCAGTGAAGTATTAGCATTCTTTAGATGGTACTCAAAGCCTAATTGCCAGTGTGGTCTCCATCCCATACCCAGCGTCAGAGATTACAGGCTCTTGGCCCCTAGTCTGATGTTCATCTACAGACTCATTTCATTTTGGCTTATATGTTTCAAAACCGTCCTTAACTAGTTGATTTTTTAAATCAACTGTCCTTGTTAAAATCACTGTTTAAAATTTCTGTCCTTGCTTGAAAACTCAGTTAGCCTCAGTGCTCAAGTTTCTACCTAGCAAAATTGTTGTAAAACCTACAATTTTCTTAACCGGGCAGGCCTTCTGACTTAACTTCTTTGTACCAGTCAGACTCTGAGTGTAGAGCCTCTTGGCACTTATGTCATTGTTTTGCTGCCTTGTGACTTGTATTTGAATCCTGCACCCATTTGTGTTTGTAGTATTTAATCTATATTCCAGCCCCAGTCGACACTGTTCCATTCTCTGACTTCACTGTGTGCCGCTCCCTTACTTTGCCTTTGTGTTGTCATTGTCAGCCTGGCTGCCAGCATTGTCAAGCCGAATTCACACTCATCTCCAGAACCCTCTCTGCTTCAGGAAGCAGCTGATGGGAGCCCTTTATTTGGGTGACTTTCATAGTTTATGTTACTCACCATAGTGTATTGTATTTTTGTTGTTCAAACACTTTCCTGCTGGATTGTGTGTCAGTTAGAACAAGGATTATGGCTCTTACTCAGTTAAGTGCCAAAGTGACCCTTGAGGGATGATTAGCAAGAATTCTTAGCTTAGTCCACCGTTCCAGGTTTGTATACTGAAATAAATAGCTTTACCTTAAGCTTCTTTTTATATGGTACTTGAGCGTAGTTTGGAAGGAGATTAATCAGTATATTATCTTGAATTTCTTTAGTTTTAGGTGCATTGAAACCATTCTCTGTCAGAGATGGTAGTAAAACCAGGACTCTTGGTGGAATGAAGTACAGCAAAAAAAAAAAAAAAAAAAAAAAGTGTATCGATTTAACCTCTGACTTTGGTAGTAACTGTGTGTGCTTTGTCTTGTCCCAGCAGTCATTTAGCTGCTTTTCTGAGTATGATGTGCCCAGATCCACTTTCTGCCCGTGAGATAAAATGGGTTCGTCACAGTTGGAATGTGTCTAGTAAGCACATATTTACTTGGCTTGTGTTTTGTTTTTGGAGAGAGATGTTTGATTTCAGGAGTCTGTAGGACTTTCAGTAGCTCATGTCTTCTGGATAAGGCTGGAGAGGAAACGGTCTGTGGTCAGTGACATTTAGAGAGTAAAGTCATTACAGTCGATTGTTACTTATGCGTGTTTATCTTTAGAGGTTGGTTTATCCTTCCTGTATAGGAGAAAGCATTTGCCAAAAGTGTGCTAGCATCTGCTCTGCAGACCTGAAAAGTTGGAGTATCAGCAGTCTGAAGTTAAATTACTTAGTCTCTTCCTTCCTTTCTTCTCCCTGAAGGGCAGTACTGACTGAGACCTCGAGATTTCTTTGTATATCTCTTTGGTTTCTAAACTCGTTACTTTGTCTTGGTTGGCTGGTTCCTGGCCTTACACTTTCCCCTGACTTCTTGCCTCAGAACTTGACTTCTGAATCAAGAAAGATGAGAAGTTTGTGAAGAGGAGAAAACCCTGGTTGCACTTAATTGCAGACACCACTGATGGTTGTCAAGGCTGCTGATGCTCCCTTTTTGTAGAAAGAATCACAGGGACCGAGAGCCAGTGTATTCAAGGAGGACAGCTTTTGGAACAATTGCAGACATCAAAGAAACCACAGCTTCCCTATCACATAGAAACCTTTCCATGTGCTCTAAGAGTGCGCCTGGGTGGGGTACCGATGGCTGTTCTGAAAGGTTAGGAATTTAACGAGGTCCAGTGTAGCCATAGTTACATCTTTGTGCTGTAGATGTGCTGTGCTCCACCGTCTCTCTGATAGCACACTGTATGTGACATCACACTACTTTGCCTTTCCCATACTTGCCACGGTCTGCAATGTCTTCACCAGTACATTCCTTCATAGTCCCCATGTAAACGGGTAACAGTTAGTCAGGAAGCCAGCAAGTTTTCTGCCACTACGACGAACAAATTTGTGATAGAGAAATGGGAAAGCTAGAAAAACGGAGCAGTACATGTGCTGTGGTGAGGACCAAGCTCATATGAGTGGTCTGTGCTGCCGCTGAGGACCATATCTATTTAGTTCCGAGATCCTGCTGCAGCTGGAGTCTGTGTTAACATCCATGGCCCTTGTTACCATCAAAGGCCATGTCTATGTCTGTGGTCTCTGCTGCTGCCTGAAGCCATGCTGCCTGTGAGGGCCATACTGATTTCAGTGGGCTGCGCTGCCATCTGCGGTTATGGTGATGTCCATGGATCAGACTGCCTCCAAGGGACATGTCCGTGGCCCTACTACAGCTGGGGCCCAAGTTAGTGGACTGTGCTGTTGCCAGAAACCATGTAGAAGTTCATGATCCATGCTCCCTCTGACTTTAAGGAGCAAAGATATCACTTCTGTGGTGATATCAATGACTGCACACACACAGTTGAGAAAGAGGGATGTGAAAGGCTTCTGTGACAATCCATACCTCCACCTTACCTCCCCCCCCCCAAAAAAAAAGGAACAGCCTATACAGGAATCCATCAAAGAGAACTTTTTAAAGGTGTGATGGGATACTGAAGAGTAGCTCTCCATAATTGATGGCTTCTGGCAGAGGTGTAGGAGGGGAAGGACTCAGTTCTGGGTAGGGCAGGTCACCAAGAGTTTGACCATGCTCCAGTGAGTATATAGAAAACACATATTGGACTTGGTTGTATTATTATTATTATTATTATTATTATTATTATTATTATTATATTAATTATTTTTATTTTCTTTTGTGGGGGAGGTCACAAGGTTATGGGACAGACATGGAAGGACTGAAAAATGAGTGTGGTATGTATTTCAAATTGCCATGCACTCAACAGATCTAAATATGAAGAGATTTATTTGGGGGAAGGAAAGGGGAAAAAAGAGGAAAAGAGAAAGAGGAGAGAAATGTCCCCACAAGAGAGAAAAGTCAGAGAGGAGAGAAGAGAAAAGAAATGAAACAAAGAGAGAGAGCAGGTAGGAGTGGCAGATGGGTTATATCTGGAGCACCTGGCCCAGGGGATGATAGGATGTAGGTGGTCATAGGACTTACCAGGACCCTAAAGGCCCCTGAAGGCAGGCCAGTTGAATTGCCTGCACAACATAACAGTCAGAGTGCATAATGTGAAATTCCCAAAGAATGAATAAAAATATTAAGTTAAAAAAAAAAAAAGAATTAGTCATAGCTTCTTTAGAAGGCCCCAAATGTGGTATATGTCCTTTGTTTGACCTTTTCAGCAAGAAAATAACTTTATGAAGGGTAAAATCGGGTCTTATGAGAATTATACTCATTCTTTGAGTCCTGGGCCTGTTTAATCAACTCATTGGTGATACTTAGAATATTTGTGGAATTAAGTGAATATAGAACATTATATTAGTTTCCTTGGCAAACATTAAATTAATGCCAAAAACTATTAAAAATGAAAGAAAACAGAGATGACTTAGGTTGTTCTTTATGTGCACAGCACACTTGCATATAGGAACTTGCAGTAAAGAAAGTGTGGGACACAAGTCGGTGTTTGTAGTTCTAGCTTCTCAAGTGTTTTGGAGTGTTTAGAGCATCTATAGTAAACAATTGGTAATCTTCATTAAAGATTTTGTGAGACTAGAATAATTGATACTTTACTGGAGCATTTTTAAGTGACTACATGAGATGCTCATGTGTTTGCTCTTATGTTTGAAGTTTATCTTCTATGAAGCACTGAGAGCATCTCATCTGTTACAGACAGGCATTTCAATTGCAGTAAGTGATATGCCAAAAGTCTCAGGGTTAACCTTGTCAGAAACTAATTAACCAAAACTCCAAATCTCAGGGCTAGAGAGATGCCTCAGTGGTTAAGAGCACTGGCTGCTTCAACACACGACCTGGGTTCAGTTCCCTGTGCTCACACAGTAGCTCACAGCTGTCTGTAACTCCAGCTCCAGGGCATCCAGTGTCCTCTTCTGGCCTCCGCCAGCACCAGGCACACATGTGGTGTGCAGGTATAATATAGACAAAGATTCTATGTACATAAAATAGAAATCTCTAAGAACTCTCCTAAGTTTCATTTTCCTTCTGTAAAGTTGAACAAAAATGGCTTGGAACATATGTTCCAACAGTGCTACATAGTGTTTATCAGTGAGTTCTGTATTGTATACACTTGGCATTTAGTATAAATGGCACAGTTAGCTACTTTAGCATTATGTCTTTATATTGATAATGCAGTTCTAAAATGACCTTCAATTTTAGAAAGAACAAAATGTCCAGAATTGGCCAATTTAGTGTTTTTAAAAACAAGCTTATGGAGCTTATTTGTATCTATGGACATTTTATTAAGACCGTGAAGACTATCTAGTGACTATGAGTAGCATTTCCTCAATGAACTGAAAATAGTAAACAAAAATGAAAAGTGATCATATGACTGAAGGTATAAACATGTAAGATAAAACATAGTAGAGTGTTTTTCTTTTTCAGCCATCATATTGATATTTTAAAATACAGTTATGTTAGAATTGGACATAAGTAGTCACCTTAGCCCCTGGCAGTATAAAATTGTCACAGTCCATTTAGAAGACAGTCTGTAACACAGTAGGAGTCACGTTGATTTTTATATTGTTTTGCTGTGGTGATTCTCTTTCAGGAAATATATCCTAAGAAAACAGTCTTTAAAAATGATTACTGTACTTTTATCATTCCTATCACTATGTAAAATATGTAAAAGGAATTTTTTTGCAGCAAAATGTAAATTGGATTGTGGGTAATTTTTCTTTCCTCCCTTTGAAAACTTCTGTATAGTTATTGCTTGAGACATTAGTAGAATTAGAGGAATGGTGGCTTCAAAATTGTTTCTTAGTGCAAATTAGATTACTTCCAGATCTCCTAAAAGGATGGAAGATCGATTATTCCTTATGGGTATTGCAAAACTGTTAACTTGTAAAATAATTATACAAATCACAAATAGAAGAAAATCTTGAGGATAACGGCCCTATCACTGACATCTTACAAAAGTGTGTCTGTCATTAAAATTAATATGACCTGAAGTGCAGGTTGTAATGAAAGAGAGTGGAAGAGGACCTTCAAGGAAACTAGGCTTCCACAGTCAGGACTTGTTCTTATGTGACTGTCTTCTTTCTAGAACTGATCGATGTCACCTGTACTCTTCTGCTTCTCAACCCAGACTTCACCACTGCATGGAATGTGAGGTATGTCATTTCCTTCCGTGGTAAAATGAAGTTTGTGTGTATTTCTGAAGACATAACCCTGTGAGTTTGTTAGCTACTCGAAAAATGAAATAGAAACTATTCATCCATAGCATCCTGTGTTTTCTTCCTATACAAATTCTTTGTAATATCTCCACAACAGTTCTAACATCTGCACTGGGTCTCTTGTAACTGTCTATTTTCTATAAGCATTTTCCCCCTAAAATATAGATAGTCCCTGCTGAGCTATACCGTACTGTTTGATGCCAGCTGTGTTTTCTTCCCTTGTTTGGGGATTACAGGCACTTTGTATGAGTGATTGCATCACTAGGCATTGCTTGGAAGTCTAGCTGCACTGGAGTGCAGGGAGAATGTGTGGGATGAGGACTTAGGGTCACTGGCCCTTAGTCTTCATTTAGCCATAACCATTGTGAAGCTGTGAGAACGGCACTTGAAGTGGCTGACATTCTGGGGTTGAAAGAGGGATCATATTTGATCATTTTTTATTGTCTTTGCTTTTGTTTTTCAGTAAAATGACCCAAATGTGTATATGGGTTTAAATCAACTAGTATTTCATTAGATTAAAACAAATTTTCTAAGAAGAAAGCAGAATATGAATAATAAGTAGAAGTGAAGTCTTTTGAATGTTCTGAATTATTTTAAGTTTTCCCACAGGAAAGAGCCATAAAAAATGTAATTCTTTATTATTGGAGATTACTTGAATTATATTTTATTTAACTCTCTGTTTATTTTAAACAAGATCACATTACAATACTGGATTTTGTATTTATAACTTATTTTTAAGAATATATGTGACGTCCATCCTGGACATTTTCTGAGGTGTTTGAAAAGTAGTGATCTTTCTTCTGCTTTGAGTAAGTTCCTGAGTCTCCCCCCCCACCACACACACATATTTCAGTTTTCACATCTGGAAAGTTGGGGTACTTGGTTGAACTATATGAACTTTATTTTTTAAGTCCATCAGAACCGGTTGAACCTAGTACTCAGGTTTCTAGTAAAAGGAACTGGGTCTACTGGAGAAATGACTGAGTCAAAGACTAAGGCAGGAAGTATACAAAATGAGCGTGGAACATCTTAGAGAAAGTACTGTTAAAAGTAAAATAAAACACAGTGGGGGCTATTAAAGGGGCACAGGAACCAGCTGAGAGAACTTCTGAGAATGATTGGAGCAGAAAAATACACACAGTAGGCCCTTTTTATCATGGGAAGATCTGTTCTGAGGCCCCCATGCCTTCAGACCTGTTACTGCTGGATGTATATAGCATGGACATACTGGGCAACAAATTTCCATCCTGAATTGTGCAGCATGAGATTCCATCAGATGCTCAGATAATATCAAATTTATTTAAAAGAGGGATTATTTCTGAAAATTTCCATCTAAAGTGTTCAAACTATGGTTGATTCTTGTCAGAGGTTTTAGGTTTATGATAAAACACTGGCCCAGATCAGCCCAGGAAGGAAAGGATTTATTTTAGCTTAGAAGTCTCAGATCACACAGTCCATCACTGAGGGAAGTCAGAACAGGAGCTCAAGGAAAGGAACCTGGAGGCAGGAACTGAGGCAGAATAAAATGAAAGAACACTGCCTACTGGCTTGCTTTCATTGCTCAGCTCACTTTCTCACATAACTCAGGACCAAGGAAAGCAGAGCCCACACTGTGCTTTGCCCTCCCATGTCAATCATTACTCAAGGAAACACCCCCACTGACTTGCCCATAGGACAGTTTCATGCTGGCATTTTTCTCAGTTAAATCTCTCTTCCCAAATGACCCTAGCTTTTGCCAGGTTGACAAATAACTAACCAACATGACAATGAACTCTGAAGCAATGGCTCTTAAACTTTAATATGGTTCACACCATTTCTGGTTTAGTGTCTTTGGGACCAGGCCTGGGGATTTGCGTATCTATTCGGTTACAGATGGCAGTGTGGTGATCTGAGATCCACAGCCCCATGGTTCCCTCTCTCCCCAACACTGAGATTGCAGGTACCTGCTGAGGTGCCTGCTCTTTATACTGGTTCTGGGGGTCAAATTCAAGCCCTCACACTTACACAGGAAGCACATGCCCAACTGAATCGATTCCATAGCCTCTCTTTTTTTTTTTTTTTTTCTTGGAGATTCACCATGAGATTTTATTAAAAGCAATAAAGAATGCTTGAATAGAAAAGTAACACTTTTTTCTTTGTGTTACAGGAAAGAGCTCATCCTCTCTGGTACTTTAAGTCCAATTAAGGACCTGCATCTGGGAAAATTGGCCTTAACTAAATTTCCAAAGAGTCCAGAGACATGGATTCACAGGTGTGGCTGATATGATAGTGTTGCATTCCTGTTCGGTGTTCAAGGTCACACCTTATGAAACACGGTTATCTGTTTGTTCAGAATGGGAATTATGAAATCATATTACCTACATTTGAGTCTAAAACCTATCACTTGCTCGCTGAGTGTCCACGGTAGCAAGTTCTTCCAAGTCTGAGCTTTCACTTTCATAAAATGTCAGCAATAATTATACTTGTCTCACAGAATTGGTAGTTCAGTGCTCCTGAGATCATGTATATAAGCAGTACTACAGTGCCTGGCATATAGTAATTGCTAAATAATGTTGGCTGCTTTCACCCGTCTGTAGCAGTTTGGGAGACTTTGTTTAGATACTTAACTATACATGGGCTTGTGTTCCTGGTAGATATGGTGGTCTCTCTGGCGGATGTAATAATTAAAATTAATTTTAAAGGAATGTAAGGGTAACTGAGCTGTTTGGACTAAGTAAACAGCTATTAAAACCATAAATACAAGAGACATTTTTAGGGTGAAACAGCTAAAATACAAGTAATGGCTCTGAAAATTCTGTGGTTGTGAACCATGCGTTTCTGAGGTCTTGTGTAACTCTTTTTACTTGGCTAAAATGTGGTGGTGTAGCCTGCTGGTTGGTGTATGCAGAGACGTCACTCCCAGGAAGTTTGTCTTCCTTATGCTTCTAGCATGTCTCAGTCATGGACACTGTTGGGTTCTTCCTAAATTTCTCAGTCATGGACACTGTTGGGTTCTTCTGCAGGTTTGAGGCATCATGACTGTAACCTTGCTTTTGGCCAGCATTGTGAGTTGGCTCTTACCAAACCACAGTTAGCTATAGTTTTTTCCTCACCAGAAATTGGCATGTTATGCCCCAAAAGCCATGTGCTAGTGTTAGTAATTGGAGATCTGTAATTTAAAAACAAAACAGTGATTTGTTGTGAGACTTCATTGTTTAACAATGAAATAAATTTTCTTACTCATTTTTTCTGAACCATGGGTTAGAAATTTTTTAGTCTGAAAGTATGCTTCCATAAAAATATGAACTAGGCAGAAACCTTTTATGTTGCTTTTGACTGAAATGTATGCTGATGCCAATTATACAGAGACCAAAGGAAAATCTGTGATTAAAGACGTTTTAAACCTTGATGCCTCAATATTTTTTGGTTGTTTTTGTTTTGTTTTGTTTTATGCTGTCAGATAGAAAGTATATTCAGTGAAAGCTCTCAAAATGAAGCTTTTTGTTTGCAAACAAGTGCAGGTGTGCGGGTGAGGCTTGCGCATATAACCAAATACAGGGGTCTGCTGCCTCCTCTTGTCGTCCAAAGCCACTGTGGACTAGGAGCTGCTCCGCGCCCAGCCCACCATGCATAAGCACTTGGACCGGCTCCCTTAGTGTTTCCTTGCCAAGTAAAGTTTGGAAGTTGTCTTCTTAGAACTGATGACCTCTTTTTGAGAGAAATTAAAGTTTAAAAAAAGTTTTCCTTTCCTGTTTGTCATTCTCATGTCCCCCTTCTGGTTCTTATTGCTAGGTTGAATTGTATTCCAGAGCATAGTAGCAGCAGCCCCTTGACATCCCATGTGTGAGCCTATGGATAATTATTATTTTGCAGTATCTGTACATGCAAACTAAGAGCAAGAAAAACTGACTTTCCCTGTCTCACCTGTGTTCATCCCTCCTCTTTCCCCCATGTTGTATTGACAGGCGCTGGGTGCTGCAGCAGCTAAGCCAGGAAACTTCCCTGCCTTCCTCTGTGGCCAAAGGACACTTAGGAACAATTCCTGCAGAGAGGATACAGAGAATAATACAGGAGGAGATGGAAGTGTGTAGTGAGGCAGCAGGGAGGTATCCTAGCAACTACAATGCCTGGTCCCATCGCATCTGGGTCTTACAGAACGTGGCCAAGCTGGATCTCAAGGTAGGACTATTATTCTTTCTCCATGGCCAAGGCTGCCCACCCACGCTTTAAATCTCTGTAGCAATTTACCCTTGAAAGTAATGTTCCAGCAGCCCCAGATAATCAATGCAGTTGTGGTTTCCCGAGAAATCTTCAAAGCTGCAGAAGGGTTTGCATTCTCCACTGGTGCAGCTTGGGACACGGGTAAAGGAAGTATATTGCTAGACCAAAGGCATACAAAACCAAATGGAAAGTCTCAGTACGACTCATTAAGATTATTAAACTACTTAGAATTGAAATTAGTTCATAGTATTCTCTGGACACGTGTCAATGAGCTGAATTAACAGGCATTCTTTATATCCTTTGCTCTCAGAAAGAAAAGGAGAAAGCAGGGACAGACTTGGGAAAGAGCCTGTAAGTCACCTTGAGATTCTCAAAGACCTCCCTTCACAGGCCTGTGATATCAGAATGATGGTGGCATCTACACATAAGGGTTGTTTTTTGTTTTTGTTTTTGTTTTTTCTCCATAAGTTCAGTATAGTTCTCACAGCCTTTTGGGTTTTTTTTTTTTTCTTTAGAAGTGGAGAGATGAAGGTTTCCACAGTATTTTGTCGCTTATAATTAGCCACATTTGCATGAGTTGGAACATTTAGTGCTTATCAGTCAGAATCCTGATAGCCCCTGTCTTCCTTTTTCTGTTACAAAATCATCTCCAGTTTTCCTTTGTTGTTTATGGTGGTAGAATTCCATAACAATATATGGTGCTTTTCTAAAAGCTTCCTAAGGTTGGGGCAACTAACAGAGGTGGAGTTGAAGGTCAGCCTGCCCCAAGTAGTGATTGAAATTCAGAGAGCTTCCTGTAGTTGAGGTTCACCAGCAGTGTCCTCTGTCCTTCCCAGTTGTCTTTCCTCATTTCCTAGTAAGGGGTCTTTCAGGGTAAATACAGTTGTCACTTCCAAGGGAATTGAAGGTAACAGTCAGGGAAGAGTGGACCTTTCTGTTTCAGTTCCTGTTTGTGAGTTACAGGAGGTAGCTATCCAAAGGAGTAGATAGAGCACAGGGTTAGAGTCGCGTCAGCCTGAGTTCATATTTGGCTCCTACATGGAAAGTAATCCTTTGAGATTTTATTTTTAAAATGAAGACTCTACTGTCTGTCTTGAAGTTAGTGTGGGGACTGCCTGAGTAACTGATCAAAGTATTGGGTATCTTTCACACAGGTTTCTTTTCTCTGTCCTCCTACCAATAAAAAGGTTAGGATTGGCTTAGTGCAGTTTATTCATGGGAAATACTTAAGTACTTTTATTCCTAGCTGCTGTCCTGGGCACCCAGGCTGTTTATCAGCTGGAACTCTACTTGAGAGCCAACAGTTAGAAAATAGCATAACCCTTGGAGGGCCTGGGGAGCTCTGAGTCCAGTTGGAAGCACTGGAAATGGTTCTGTAGAAACAGCTGCTGAGTGTAGAGATAGACAGATCATGTCGGGTATTGTCAGGGATGTGGAGTACTGCAGTTCCTCATCTCTGCTCTTTAGCATGGTAGTGGGGTAGGGCCTTGCAGAAGAATTGGGACTGAAAGGCCAGTGAGATGAAATGTTAATGGAAACTTTCCTACTAGTCCTGGCCCCTTTAGGGCGTATTCTCATAAAATCAGAGACAATAAGCCAAGGTGAAATGAGACCATCTTCTGTTTAATATATAGCGTATTGATGAGATTTTGACTCATCTCCCTCGATCTACTTCTGAACTCACATCTTGCCACCCTTCCTTGAGCTGCCCTCTGGAGGATTTGCTGTGCTCTCCATCGCTGACTCAACTCCACTAGCATTCTTGCTCTGTTTGTTTGTTGTTAAGTCTCTTTCTGTTGATAATAGCCTGTGAGCCCAGCTGGAACATGCTCTGTACCTTGTCCCTGAGAGGAAGAAGTTAACAAAAGTACCAGTTGTCTAGACCAGCTTAGAAGTGCATGTAAGTCTGAGTGTGGAGGTGCACACGTGTAATCACTACTACTCAGGTGCTTGGGCAGGGGTGGAACGCAGCCTGGGTGACATAGGGGGTTCAGAGAGGCTGTGGATGGGCAGCTTAGTGAAGTCTCATCTCAAAGTAGAAGTGAGGGGAGTAGAGAAGACAGAGGGAGTGGTGTAGCACTGGACTGAAGCATGGCTACTGCAAAATAAAAAATAAGAAAGACACTTATAAAGCGAAGCACATAAAATGAGCTACCAGTATTTCAAGAGTAGAAAGCTGAAAATGGTGTCTTGAAGAGCTATATATTCAGTACTGGTAATAGGATGGCACTGAGCTCTGAAAAAGTTATTGCTGTCTTAATAAAAGGCAACAGGATCATGTTTCTCTCTTAAAGTAGCTAGAATCATAGCATTCTTGTTTCATATGCTTCATCTGACGTAAAGAAACAATGGCAGAGACAGTATGTATGGTGTAATAATTAAAGGTGCTACTCTGGCTGTACAGACCTAATTTGTATTCTCATTCTACCAATTTGCTGTATCGCCTCAGGAAGCTACCCAGCCTCTCCCCTGCTTTCCTGCCTGTGAAAAAGAGTGGAATCCCTTAGCAGCTGTCCTGTAGAGCAGTGACCGTCACAGTGTTCTTCCTTAGTACTCAGCCAACGCTGACTATTAATGTGAAGGTTTGATATGTGAAAGTAGCATTTGTAATTGTGAGAAATTAGAAAAGCTTGCCTCTGAAGTGAGGGATGGGTTAGTGTGGCAGGGCATCGCAAACTGCAGCGTGTTAGTCTACTGAAGATCTCACTTTATTAGATGTTTTAAAGGAAAAGAGTAGGTTATTGGAATAAAACTAAATATAGTGTAGACTTTACACAGTTTTAATACATTAGCATTTAAGGAAACAACAAATACTTTTGAGTGGTTGGGCAGGACCTGGGAGGCTGTAAATGCTCAGCAAGTGTTTTTGTGTACACATAGTGTTGTTATGGTTTGGGTTTTGTTTGTTTGTTTGTTTGTTTGTTTGTTTTGCATGTTTTTAGTAGTAAACATAATAGTGCTTTAGTCATGAAGAAAGGTTAGAGACTAATGTGCTGTGGGTAGAAACGTGGTATTTTATGTTTCTATGCTTAAACACATGCTTTTGTAAATTTTAAAGATTATTAATTTTTGAGGGTGAGCAGAATGATAAAAGTGAGCAAAATTTATTGTGACTAGCCAGTTAACAGTTGATTAGCGTGTCATTTGACGTGATAGAATAAAAAAATAGAAATGTAAAAAAAAATGTCAATAAAGACACAAAAGACAAATGGCATCATTAACAAAGGAGAGGAATGCAAATCATAACCACAGCAAGTGAAACACTGTTTCATTCCAACTAGAATGGCAACAGTAGTGGCAGAGGTAGCAAGTGTCACTGAGGATTCAAAAAGAAGGAGCCCTTAATGTGGCTACCAGGAATGTAATCTGGTTCTATGGCTATAGAAAACAGTTTAACATTTCCTTAAAAGAGAGAGAGAGAAAGCTGTAGATTTGCTGTATATGAGAGGGGCCAGGTATAGTTAAAACCAGTAGATTGTATTCTTGGAAGAGAAAGAATGGTTCCTTTCGCCCCATTGTGGAGAACTGGAGGCATGTTCTTCTAAATCCTGTGTGAGAGTGTTCATAGTCCTAAGCTAATGACAACTCAAATATGTATCATACGAGAAAATGAAAACCAAAAGTGACATCTTGATTCAGTGGGCTCTTGACATAAAAAAGGTATGAAATACTGGAACACTATGTAATGTAAATGAATCTGAAAACATTATTAAAAGTAACCAGATTCAAAATCATTCCTTACGATCCATTTATCTGTTCAACAGAGATGGTCACAGATGAGTGAGTGCCTGAGACCAGTGCAGGGATGGGAAGTGAGTCCTCATGGTGATGGAGGGATTTTTACAGATGTGTGTGTAAAAACATTTGAATTCAGCAATAATGTCTACACAATTCTGAATATGCTAAAAATACAGGTTTATTTATCAGTTTCAAAGCTTGAAGTTGATTAGAAAAGACTTACACACCAGCTAAGAAATTAAATAAACACTATATTAACTCTGTGAAATAATTTTAAAATAAAGCTTTTTTATAATTTTTAAAATGTTTTTAATTCAGTTTACATCCATGTTGTAGCCCCATCCTTAGAAAATAGGAGCTCCCTTTCCCATCCAGACCAGCTCATCAAGTTGAATCAGGACTGAGCATGTCCTCTTTCCCTGCAGCGTGCCAGGGGGAAGTGATGAAAAAGCTGGCAAGCGAGTCCGTGTTTGATGCAGTCCCCATTCTTTTATTTGCGGACCCACATGAGGCCCAAGCTGCCCATCTGCTACATCTTTATAGGGGGCCTAAGTCCAGTTCATGCATGGACTTTGGTTGATGCTTCCAGTCTTAAAAAATAGACTAGGTAATGATAAAAATATATAAACTCCAGCAATAAATCTTAGTACATATAATTGTATACAGATTCTGTTAATGGTGACTATGCCATGCAACACAGAGAAAAGAATCTTTGGTTGGTTTGTGATAACTAGTAACATTTGGATTGACTTTTTATGAATAAACTGAACTAGAATGGACTTTTAAAATCTGAGAAGAAAGTAGAGTCCTGGAGAATGGTATGCTAGGTAGAGTAAGCCATGTAAATACGGTATGATCTCACATTTATGTGGGATCTAAGATAGTTTAAGTTCTGTGGAAGCAGAGTAGAATGATGGTTGGAAAGTTGAGAAAGGAGAATTGCTGGTCATAGGGTACAAAATTATAGTTAGGTAGAATGAATAAGCCCTATGATCTTATACCGCTTAGCGACCACAGTTGTTATATGGAAGGCTGAAGCGATCGCTTAGTGGTTAAGAGCACTCACTCTTGCAACAGGGGCCCGGAGTTTGGTTCCCAGCACCACATGGTGGCTCCCAACTGTCTGAAGCAGTTCCTAGGGTTCTGACACCCTCTTCTGACCTCCACAGGCACAAGGTACATACGTTATGCTCATGCATAACATGCAAATAAGACACTGAGGCACAAAAATTCAATACATTTTTTTAAAGAATAGTATCATGTATTTAGCTAAAACTTGCTGCCAGGATATCTTAAATAATCTCACAATAAAAAATGATGACTCAGGTAATTAGCTTGGTTTTATAATCTCACGATATACACATGCCTGTTATGACATTGTATATCACAAGGGCATACATTTTTTAACAATTACTCCTCAATAAACCTGGAAAAAGAGAAATCAATTGTAGTAGTATATACTGGGAAAATGTTTACAGTATGTGTTTCAAAAGTAGAGGTTTAATATCTCTTTAATGTATACATATCTGTTAAAAGTTCATAAGAAAAATAAATGACTTATGGATAGTAAACTGAGCAATTCATAAATGAAGAGAACAAGACAAGTGGGTTATTTACAAAGAAATAACAAAGGAAAACCAAGCATATAAAAACTGAGCTTTCTTTATAATTAAACACAACCATTTTTATATAATATTAACAAATTAGTAGTGATTAAAAATTTCATAAGAAGTTTAGGGAAAAAAAAAGTTTAGGAAATTGGCATTAATAATGTGCCTCCACTAGGATGATAAATTGTATGGTCTTTCAAGGGACACTTTATAATGTATGTCATCAGTCTTACAGAGTTTTCTTTTCATCCCAACAAGTAAACTTCTGATCATTTCTCCCAAATAACAGATTAGATATGCACATTTTATGTGTAAGAATCTCACTCATATGAGTGGAAACAAGGGGATAGTCAACTACTCATCTTGAGGATAAAATGCTGTACAGTAGTGAAAGGTGCTGTTGCAGAATGCTCGTTACCATAGCAATGATCCACCTGACAAGTAGAAACATCTGGGAGGAGGGTTTTACTTGACTTACAGTTCTGAGGGGCTGTGATCCATCATGGCAGAGAAAGCATGAGGCAATCGGCCACATTTTGTCCTCAGTCAGGAAACAGAGCAAGTGAATGCTGCTGCTCAGCACAGCATCTTCCTCGGGCTCTGGCCCAGCCTGCTCTGCACACATTCAGGATGGTCTACCCTTAGTTAAGTCATTGTGGGAATACTCACACAGACATACAGAAGTGTCTTTCCACGTTGATTGTGAATCTAGCTAAGTTGACAATGAAGATTAACCATCACCAATGTGCTTACAATTTAAGCAGAATAGAATCACTTCAAAAGTTATTTCCCAGTAGGTTCATGGGTGATGTGTTTTTTTCTGTTCCATCTTAGTGCTATTTCTAGAATGATCGTTTTTACTTAATTAGGGTCGGGTTTATTTCATCCTATAACTCTTAGGTCATACTCTATCACCAAGTGAAGTCAGAGCAGGAACTCAGGCAGAAACTTGGAGGGAGGAACTGAAGCAGAGGCCATGAAGGAACACTGCTTACCCACTTGCTCCTTGTGGTTTGCCATACGGGACCACTTGCCCAGAGGTGGCACTGCCTCCCACGGAATGGGCCCTCCCACATCAGTCATTAATCAAGACAAGTACCACAGTTGTTTACAGGCAAGTCTTAAAGAGGAATTCTCTCAGTTAAGATTTATTCTTCTTAAATGACTATTTAAGAAGAATATTATGTTGACAAAAGAGTATTATGTTGACAAAAACCTAACCAGGACAGTCACTTCTGTAATCAGGGGAAAGTTACTAGAAATGTACACGACATGGCATGGGTGTTTTCAGCGTTTTGTTTTAAACCAGTCAACCGCTGTGTTCTAGAGCCCTGTCGCTATGTTTATTTATTCATCGTTTTATATGGAAGTTGGAAAAGAATAGGTATACTTAAGGTATATCCTAAAAATCATTTATTTTGTCAGTACCTGACATTTAAGCCATTACTTTGTGTTTTTAAAGTCACTTAAAAGTAATTGCTGTCTTTGTTTTAAAATCAATGCCTCTATACCATTCTATTCTAGTGAAAAATAAGTCTAACATACGAAAATGCCCTGAAATTCCTGGTTTCTTTTATGACTTAACATGCATCCTTACTCATAGAGAAAAGAATAGAGTAGGATTTTGTGTTTTGTTTTGTTTTGTTTTTTTCCCGTAAGAAGTCTTAAGCTGGGACAAGTTCATGTACATGTGTGTTTGTAGAGGCCAGCGGTTGTTTTGGGGTCTTTGAATTGCTTTCAACCCCCTCAACTGAGTCTTTCCACCCATCTCTCTCCCCCCATCTCCCATGTGTTGTGTATGTGTGAGTGGACAGATGTTGCATGCCTGTGTGCACGAAAGCGAGCAGGCGAGCACCGTCTTCTATTGTTCTTTTTCTAATTGCCTCGCTAGAGGACCTCCCACTGGATCAGGAAGTCACCATTCTGGCTGACCAGCCAGTGAATTCTTGGCATCTACCTTTTTCTGAACTTCAGTGTTGGGGTTACAGGCATGTGCAGCCATGCCTGGCTTTCGCCATGGGCGCTGGGAATTTGAACTCAGGTCCTCATGTTCATGAAACAAACGCTTTTCCGTGGAGACATCTACCGAGCACCTTTTTGAGGAAGTCTCTCACTGGACCTGGAGCTTACAGAAGTGGCCAGACTAAGTGGTCAGCAAACCTCTGAGAGCCTCTTGTCCCTCCCTGCCTAGCACAGGGATAGCAGACGTGTGCCCCATGCCTGTCTTTTTCCGTGGGTGCTGGGGGTCTGTACACAGATCTTCATACTTATGTGTTAAGCACTTCACCAACTGAGCCATTGCCTTGGCCCCTTTAAGGCCATTTTAAAAATAATTAGATTGGTTTCATTGAAAGACTTTCACCCATGTATTGCTTTTGTTTCAGAGTTAACCTCTTTTTAAATAATAGACAAATATCTAGTCAGAAACAATCTAAAATTTTTCATGTTGGTATGTGCACTCAGTTTAGATAGCCGTGGTATTAATCAGTCCATGTTAAGAAGCCAAACTAAAAACAAAAGCTTCTAAAGATGACTATCTGTGCTATAGATAATGGGCTGATTCTTAAAAATAATAATAATAGCCTTAAAATGAAATGTTTTCAGATAGGGGCTAAAGTAGAAATGGCTCTAGGTTTGCCAGATATTTTTCTTGGAGACTTCTCAGCTGTAGCTTTGTAAATAATGTAGTGCAATGGTTGAACCATTAGAATGTAAGGAGCCATCCCTCAAGGAGATCACTGCTGATCTGAGGCCAGTCTGGGCTCCGTAGTAGGCTCCAGGAAGTCTAAGCTACAGAGTGAGATCAAAACAAAACAAAACAAAAACAAACAAACAAAAACCTCAACTTGTAATAGAGCATGTTAAGCCTGTAATGACATTCTTCGTTTGATAGCTAGCTGTCCAAACCAGTTCCAAACAACACCGCTCACAGATGCTACCAAAACCCTTAGCACTCAATATGAAATTCATTAATTTGTAACACAATGTTTTAACCTCTTTAGAACTGAACTGTATCTTACCCATCCATTACTGTCATCACTGATAGGAGTTTGAGGCAAATAGTGGCAATTGGGATTCCTTGGGAAATTCTGTTATTTGTGCATCATAGTTTGTGCTTAGCTTTTAGAATTAAGAAGTGGGACAGAACAGATAGTCACTGCCTGTGTGGCATTTATTATGTAAGAAGTATTAAATGGAATAAGAATCAAAACCACCTCTAAATTTGTTGTGTATTTTTCCTTCTACAGTAGTATTACTTGTAAATAAATACTCTAAAAATTCATTAATTTGGAATTTTTGTTGTTGTTGGTGGTGGTGGTCATTGACAGTGTGGTAAGGTGAAGTGAAAGAACGACAAGTCCATAAACTCTGTGCTCAAAAAAAAAGTTCCTTTTTGCTTTATAAGGGAAGGTAGTGTGCATTCAGTTTCTAAGAGAGCATCATGCAGGACTTTGTATACAAGAGGCTGGTGACAGTGAATCCGAGAGCACAGGCGGTGATGGAAAAAGAAATGCCTTTGTGAACACTCTTCTCACTTCCCTTTTTCTTCCTACAAGATCCTTCTTGACGAACTGTCTTCTACTAAGCACTGGGCGTCCGTGCACGTTTCAGACCACAGTGGATTTCACTATCGCCAGTTTTTGCTGAAGTCTTTGATTAGCCAGACTGCGATGGACAGTTCTGTCCCGCAGCAAAACTCTTTGAAAAGTGAATCAAAAGATGAAGAAGCAGCAGTTTCAACAGAGGAACCAAGAGTGAATCTTCCCCAGCTCCTAGAAGAAGAGGTAGAATTCTGCACAGATCTTATTGATTCTTACCCAGGACATGAAACCCTTTGGTGTCATAGGTAAGAAAAGAGAAAACCCATGTCCTCTGATTAACTGGGTGTGTCCTTATGAAACTTGCAGGACCTGTTGTATCTGACTTTTGTCTGTGTATGTGAACATGATCATCTAATTGTAGAGCTCTCCTGGCTGAGTGAGAAAGGGCCTTTGTTCATCATTATCTCCACCGTTGTCACTGTGAATATGAGATTTCTCACACATATCTTTGCCTGTGGTTTAGATTCACCTTTAACTACAGAACAGAATGACTTGTGTTACTTCCAAAACAGTATAGAAACAAAAGTTAACATAAAAATGTCTCATGACTCTTTGATCCTGACAATTAGCATATCAGGGATGGAGTGCTGCCGTGTGTTTTCTAGAAAAGTAAAATCTTCCAGATAATTTTGCTGCAGTCAGGATTGAAACTAATGATTAGGTCATGTGATATAAGGTAAGCTTTACCTTCTCCCCACTCCAGTGGTCTACAAATTAAGTATCTTAAGTATAATAACAGAAAGGCCAGCCATTTTACTAACCTGGGTTTTGAGGACATTATAAAAATCATTTTGGAATGAAGTCCCAATGAGTTAACACTTGCTTCATTTATTTTGGATCTTTATTTGGAAGTGTCTCCATCTTTCCAGGTCCAAATTCTGCTTCAGGTCATAGGATTCAGTTTGTGAACAAAAGACCTGTCTTTGCCAGGCAAGAATAAGGACTGTAAAAATTATTTCCTAAGTTACTGAGTCCCCACGTCTTTCTCCAGTCTGGTCTTTCTCATGGCTTAGATGCTCTGTTAGATGCTACTCCACGCTAAGTACATTCAGAAGGCAGAATTTATCTTTCTCTTTTTATAACCTTGGTGAGTAGACAGTGGTCTCTTCATAGCAAGCCTTCTGATTGCACAGTTTTAAGGAAGACAGGATGTGAGGCTATTGTTTAGAGACATGGCTGTTCTGATGTACCTCCTCATCACAATAGCAAGGCCTTAAAACATTAATTTTAAGGCCTTAGCGCTTGAATGAATGATGAGATGTAAAAACTTAGAATCTGTCACATGTCATGTCATAGTTTGTATAGCCATTGTGTCCCCCATGAAGACTAGAGATTTTGCAGAGCAGTTTTCATCTTAATAAGCAATTCCAGGTAATAGCTGCACCTAGATTGAAAATAGGAATGGCATCTTTTATGTGCTTTGCTCAGAGCCCAGCTCTCCTCTGTTGAATACCGATACATAAGACTAAAGCGGAGGTTTAGGAGAAATCGTAAATGACTCAGTGAGTAAAGGTGCTTGCCAACTAGCCTGATGGCATGAGTTCCATCCCTGGAACTTAGAACGTGGAACATGGTGGAACAAGACAGTTGACTTCTGTACCCACTCATAACACACACACACGGGGGGGGGGGGGAGAGGGAGAGCGAGAGAGCGAGAAATAAATAAAGATAGATAGATAGATAGATAGATAGATAGATAGATAGATAGATAGA